ACCGTAATTCTCCATTTATAAGACTGCTGTCACTCTTCACTCTCTGGCAAGGCCCGCAAGCAGGAATGCAAACCCCAAGTAAAGGGACTGATGTTTGAGGAATTTGGACTCAGCCTCAGGAAAAGGACCAAGGGACACTCTGTTTGTAGCCAAAACCAAGAAATGGTGAATGCCAAGGGAAGATACCTTGCTCATTGTTTGACCAATTAGATGACTGAGGCTTAGAGCGTTTGGATAGCTGGCCCAAGCTCACACTGCCGGCAAGTGTTAGTGTTAGGGTGAGCTTTGTGTTCTCTTTCTTTAAAGATTTTATAATTCTAGCTTTCAAAACGAATAAAAGAGAAAGAGACTCTTCCATCCACTGGCTCACTCTCCAGCTAGCCACAATGGCCAACAATGGACCAGGTGGGAGCCAGGAGCTTCATCTGGGGCTCCCATGTGGATGGCAGGGGCGCAAACACAGGGGCATCTTTCATGGCCTTTTCTCAAGCCATTACAGGGAGCTGGATCTGACGAGCAGTAGCCAGGATACAAAGTGCTACCCATATGGGATGCGGAGGTCACTAGTGGCAGCTTTAACCACTACACCACAATGCCAGCCCTGGTGCTCTTTGTCTCACAGAGCATTGCCAAACCAAGGTCCTGATTATGACACACCTGTCAGGTCCTCATGCAGGAGCTGACCGTGGGGATCCCATGTCTCCCAGCGGCATGATTCATTCTCCCTCAACTGCCCCTCTCTGTCTCCATCTGTTGTTTTAAAGAGGAAGGCAAAAGAAATGCACAGCCCCCCAGAACGGGAGGACTCAGTGTGGCCAGTGGGTGGAGGTCAGGCGAGGAGGCCGCCAGAGGCTGTGAGGATCAAGGCGAAGGACCTGAGAGGAACAGGGAGAGGCCTTAGGGACAGTGTCAGCGTGGCAGGCCAAGCGGGAGGCTAGGTGCCAACAAGGACACAGCCACAGGGCCAGGGTTGCAGAGCAGTCACCGTTTATAGCTCATTAGGTCCTAATTGTGTTTCTCCCAGCCAGTCCATCCCTGTCACACCCTGAGAGTGGTCTTCACTTGGGCACAGACCACAGTGCCCAGGGAGGTGCAAAGTAACTGGCAGGCAGTTAAAGTCCCCAATCACCCAAGCCACACTCTGGAGCCCTAAATCAAACCAACCCTTCCTTGGAAGTCATTCCCTATTCCCCAGGCTGCCTGATGCCTGAAGTCATCCCCCACTGCCCCCCCCCCACCAGCCCCTGCAGTTTGGGGCAGGTCCCTGGTCCTGGAGCAGATCTCTTCATTGTTGGGATAAAAGGTCTTGGGGGGTCTCTCAGAGCCCCCTCTGCCTGGACAGGGGGGTCCAGCAGGAACCCCTGGGATCCAGAGCCCAGACCCCCACCCACTGCCCCACCACCTTATCAACTCCACCTGTGGTACATGGGCTGCCAGGCTGTGGGTCCTGCAGAACAAAGTCAGTGCAGACTTGCGACCCTCATATGGCTCCTACAAGTCCCTGAGCACCGTGGGGTTCTCCACTAAGCAGAAGGGACTTTGGGGAGCCATATGAGGGCATTTTCCTCCCTCCAAACCTCAAACAGCATTCTCCTCTGCCCACTCCACGGTGTCATCAGCTGCCAAGTTCAGAGCCCTTTCAGCCACAGCTGTGTGAAAGGACTCATTTTGTAAGGGGCTGGCCCCTCCTCCCAAGGGTCACTGTGGGCTACCCTGTACCCCCAAGCTCTCCCTGCCAGAGGCCCTGGGAGGAGGGCGTGGGGCGAGAGCAAGCTGGCCCTGCAGTTGTGTGGATTCCTGCAGCTTCCGGCGGTGCGTGTGGTGAGTTTGTGACACTCGGAGGCCTGCACCTACAGCAAGCCCCCCACCCCACGCCCCGCCAAGCCCGAGCTAGGCTGGTAAGGAGGTGGGGGTGTGGGGTGCGGATGCAGAGATGGAAGCAAGGGCACGTGGGCAAGAGAAGACGCCCGGGGTCCGCAGCTCCTGTCTGGAGGCCTCACAATAACCACACGCGTCCCAAGGGCTGGAGCCCACCTCGGACCTGATGTTGTGGGTACCTGAGTGCTTCCTGCTCGCCTACTACATTACTTGAGCAGGAGACTCCGGAGCGCTCCACAACTTTTGCCCACCCCATCCCCCCTGCGGCTTCCCGCCCCGCAGCCCCCGGAGCTGGGAGGTCTTCAGGGCTCTGGTCAGTAAGCACGGCTCCGCGCCAAAGCCGAGAGGAAGAGGAAGGGTTCTTCGCGGGAAGAGGGCCGAGGCCGGGAGTTCAACCGCGCCGCCAGCTCGGTGGTGGTGGCGGGGGCAGTAGCACGCTTCTCCCTCGCTTCCCCCTCTGCTCCCCGCCTCGGCCCCCGGTCCCTTTAATTTGAGTTCGCGGCCGGGCCAGGTGCGGCGCTGCGTGGCGCGGTGCGGCTGCGGGCGGCGGCCGGGCGCTCCGTACGCGCCGCCCGCGGGACTGCAGAGCCGGCTCCCGGCTGGCCGCCCGCACCCCGCAGCCGCCCGGAGCTGCCGGCGCTGGTCCCAGCCCAGGAACATGGAGGCTCCGGGTGCCCATCCGCAAGGGTAAATTGGTGTCGGGGTGTCGCGCTGCTAGTGCTGCCTTCCCCGCCCGGCTGCGGAGCGCACGAGAGCTACGGGGCACCCCGGCGGCACAGCCTGCAGCATAGGGGGCCGGGGTTGAGTCTAGGGCGGGGGAGCCCAAGCCGAGCCCGGGGCCGGAGCGGGTGACGACGGGGAGAGGTGGGAGAGATGGTGGAGATGGGTGCTTGAGCTTTGAGAAAGATGTGTGCAGCGAAGGTGCTCGTGGACCCTCGGGGGTGTGCGTGGCGCTGGGCGGAGGGCGCAGAGCAGCCGGCGGGTGATGGGAAGAGCAGCTGACGGCGTGACCGCCTCTGGTAAATAGCGCCGGCCGGGGTGGGGGTGGCGGGAACCGCCAGCTGCATTCGCCCCTGCGGCTCAACCCGAGAGCGGCTTTGCCGGCTGAGAGGGGATTCTCCCCTCCGCGGGGGGCCTCGGGCTGGCACTGAGCCCTGATGTTTAGGACGCCACGGAGATGTAGGGCAGCCGCTGGCGCCCCACCCCCGACCCAAGTTCTGACCCCAGCACCTTCGGGTGCTGAGGGCAGCCTGGTGTGGTAGGGAGGGGGGGTGTCCCTGGCTGGATTCTGAGGTCGTAAAGCTGGGACTGAGCTCGGGTTCGCTGCGGGAGAGGAGCGTGCTGGGCAGGAAGGGGTTACGGCGGCGCTCGCCGCTGCAGCGGAGCTGCCGAATCCAGTGTGCGGCGCGGGGTGCGCGCCGGAATCCCCGCCGCAGCCCCGGGCGCTGCGGAGAGGGCCCAGACCCGCACCCCGCACTGGGGCCTGGGGATTGGGTCGGCGGGGGGCCAGCCCGGAAACAGCCTTCCTCCAGTCTCCCCCTGTTGCCTCTCTGCCCGGCTGGCAGAGCATTAGTTCTGCGCTCCCCGCCTAGGGAGCTGTGAAGGTTTTTTTTCCTAAGGTGGGGGGTGGGAGGGGAGAGAAATCAGTGGTCTTGCGCGCGTGCCCAAATCCATGCCACCCAGCTCAGAGGGAGGCCTGCGGCCCAGAGATCCTGGAGGGAGAGTAAGTTCGGTGACCCAGCCATCGGGTCAGCTCTGGTGCAGAGGCTGCCTTGTGCAGGAGGGGGTCTCCCTAGATGAGCCCTGAAGGAGCGGTGGGACGGGGTGGCGGGGCGTGGGGGTGGGGGGTTGGGGAGGACGGGACACGGGAAGCTTCTTTCTGCAGAACCTGGTTGAGGTCAGACTTTGCAGCAGTGAGCAAAGCCTCCCCCTGGGTGCTGCTGCTCTAACCTGCAGAACCAGGGGTGCCTTACTCAGAGCCACCCCACCCCCACTCCGGAGACCTGGACCTGTTCAGGGAGGCTGCTTCTTGGGGGAATAAAAGTGTTTGGAGGTCTTTGGGAAAGCTGCTCAGGAGAGGCTGGAGGTCGAGGGCTGGATCTAGACAAGGGCCCTGCACCTCCAGTGAGCAAAGCTGCAAGAAAGAACCCTCCTGGATCTTTGCTGCCCGCCACCCCACCCCACCCCCAGCCCTAGTTCCACCTTGCTGCTGTTTGTTCCAGGCACCCTCGCACCTCTGGAGGACGCCTGGACTCGGACTTCTGCTGAACTGTGCACCTTGCCACCTTCCTTCCCAAGGTTCCAGACTCAAGTCCAGCTGTTTGTCATTCCCGATGCCCCTGACCGGGCAACCCATTGCCCTGCAGCTGAGCCCAGCCACAGAGCTCACCTCCAGAACCTGGAGCCTGCCCTCCTGCCCGGAATGACTCACCACTATTTCTAGTGAGAAGATGGGGAGTTGGTCGGCTTGTTTGTGTATATAGGATTCCTGCACCATCTGACCGGCTTCGCAAGGGACAGAGAGCCCCAGGTTCGTGCCTGGCCAGGTAAACCCGCCTTTCATTTAACAACAACCTTGTCTAGTCATTAGGAGGGGCTGGGGGAGGGGAGAAGGAAGACCCCAAACCAACCGCAATCCTCTAGCAGCATGGGGAATATATCCCAGGGTGTGAGTGGGAAGGGGGACTCCCAGATAACTCTTGTGTGGGGCTGCATTCCAGGAAGCCTGTGTGGGGCAGAAGGGGGCTGTGCCAGCCACCTTCCTCCAGGGCAGAGTATCCCAGGCACTTCCTTGAAAGACCCATCCCAGCTCCTTCTCCCAGACAAGTTTCAAGGTGAAAGCTTTGTGCTGCTGCTGGTGGTAGTGAGGAGGTGCTGAGGTGTCTGAGCCCTTGGCTGGGCTCCCCCACCGCAGCAGCCCAGAGCAGCATGGCAGAGCAGCCTCACATCCTTGCCTGCCTCTGTCTTTCAGCCCAGCAAGGCTGTCTCCAGCTCACAGAGAGCTCCAGGGGGGCTCCGGGTCCATGCTTCTGCATCTTCCAGGGCCGTTGGCAGAGCCCTGAGCTCTCTGCCACCTGGCAGGTGGAAGGCAACAGCGTGAAGCGTTCCTCCCAGTCCCAATTATGACAGTGGCCACCGGTGACCCCGCAGATGAGGCTGCTGCCCTCCCTGGGCACCCACAGGACACTTATGACCCCGAGGCTGACCATGAGTGCTGTGAGAGGGTGGTGATCAACATTTCAGGGCTGCGGTTTGAGACCCAGCTAAAGACCTTAGCCCAGTTCCCAGAGACCCTCCTAGGGGACCCCAAGAAGCGGATGAGGTACTTTGACCCCCTCCGAAATGAATACTTTTTCGACCGGAACCGCCCCAGCTTTGATGCCATCCTTTACTATTACCAGTCCGGGGGCCGCTTGAGGCGCCCTGTGAACGTGCCCTTAGATATCTTCTCAGAAGAAATTCGGTTCTATGAGCTGGGGGAGGAAGCCATGGAGATGTTTCGGGAGGACGAAGGCTACATCAAGGAAGAGGAACGTCCCCTGCCCGAAAATGAGTTCCAGAGACAGGTGTGGCTGCTCTTTGAGTACCCAGAGAGCTCCGGGCCGGCCAGGATTATAGCCATCGTGTCAGTCATGGTGATCCTCATCTCCATCGTGAGCTTCTGCCTGGAGACACTGCCCATCTTCCGGGACGAGAATGAAGACATGCACGGCAGTGGTGTGACCTTCCACACCTACTCCAACAGCACCGTCGGCTATCAGCAGTCCACCTCCTTTACCGACCCCTTCTTCATCGTGGAGACGCTCTGCATCATCTGGTTCTCCTTCGAGTTCCTGGTGCGGTTCTTTGCCTGCCCCAGCAAAGCCGGCTTCTTCACCAACATTATGAACATCATTGACATTGTGGCCATCATCCCCTACTTCATCACCCTGGGCACAGAGCTGGCTGAGAAGCCCGAGGACGCCCAGCAGGGCCAGCAGGCCATGTCGCTGGCCATCCTCCGCGTCATCCGCTTGGTAAGAGTCTTTAGGATTTTCAAATTGTCCAGGCACTCCAAGGGGCTCCAGATTCTAGGGCAGACCCTCAAAGCAAGCATGAGAGAGTTGGGCCTGTTGATCTTCTTCCTCTTCATCGGGGTCATCCTTTTCTCTAGTGCTGTCTATTTCGCAGAAGCTGATGAGCGAGATTCCCAGTTCCCCAGCATCCCAGATGCCTTTTGGTGGGCAGTTGTCTCCATGACAACCGTAGGCTATGGAGACATGGTTCCAACCACCATCGGGGGGAAGATAGTGGGTTCCCTGTGTGCAATCGCAGGTGTGTTAACCATTGCCTTACCGGTCCCAGTCATAGTGTCCAATTTCAACTACTTCTACCACCGGGAGACAGAGGGAGAGGAGCAGGCCCAGTACTTGCAAGTGACCAGCTGTCCAAAGATCCCATCCTCCCCTGACCTAAAGAAAAGTAGAAGTGCCTCTACCATTAGTAAGTCTGATTACATGGAGATCCAGGAAGGCGTCAACAACAGTAACGAGGACTTTAGAGAGGAAAACTTGAAAACGGCTAATTGTACCTTGGCTAACACAAACTATGTGAATATTACCAAAATGTTAACTGATGTCTGATTGAAAACCTCTTAACATACTCAACGCAGCTCAATGGAACTAATGCAGATGTTGCATAATAGCCTGCATTGTAGTCAGCGTGTTCTACAGTGTGTATCTGGTTCTGCATGGGAAGCAATAGTCGTGCAAGTGACTTTCGATCTTTTGATTTTTGATTTAGAACACAGAGTATCTATCATGGCTTTCATGCAAATCTTCATCACCTGCTGTTGGGTTTCCAATGATAGGAATCACCTACGGAGCTAGGATTTTAGAAAGACACAGTCAGGCCACCTCATAGCCAACACTCAACCTACCGTCTCAGTGCCACACTCTCTCCCTAACCAGATGCCCATGACACCCAGAAGATACTCCCCACCCCAAGCCCACCTCCTACATGAGTCTGCCTCCCTGCCTCTCACGGAGCAACACCATCATGGCTTAGCTCTAATGCACTGGTACTTATTCAGAAGGTCACTCTTTTTTTCTTTTTGCACTGAAAAGAACACACAGTTCTGTGTGTTGGAATTACTTTCTGTGTCAGGCTGGGGTTTGCGAATTGCAGTTGCCAAGTTAGATGCTCAGGAGGTTTGTGTTTCGTAACGGAAAATGCTGCATTCTGCTTTTTCTCTGCAGTGGCGGTGTGAGGGAAATCCGAGGGGTTGGGGGGAGGAGGAAAGACAGTGAGTATGACCGAATGTGAGTTGTCAAGTTTCAAATTTGTCCCCATAGGCCTACAGGGAGATGCTGACAAACCAAGGGACCTCTCAGCTTCAGATGTCATCATTTTTGCAGGCTTTAGGGTCATGAGACTTTGTCTGATTTCTTCCTTTACATTGGGGTTTGCAGAAACCTGCTTTGCTAGTGATGTGGCTCAGCTACACTGACACTGCAGTGACACTTACCAGTGATAACAATAGAGCTGCATGGGTGTTCGTTGCATGAATCTCAATATTTAAAACACAGGAGATAAGCTGTTTTCTTAGTAGCCTACACAGTATTCATACTTAGAGTATTAATAGCCGTGAGATGGCACTGAACCGGGGGTGGGGAGGGGTTCCCATCGGAAGGCAGAAGCCCTCTATCAGGAGACAAAATAGATGAAATGGGGAACCAAAAATTCTGGTCATCCAGCCCTCCCATTTCTGTTCTTCCACATGGAAGTGCAGACCTCTGCTAAGCTGGAAGAATGAGCATGGATAGCAGCACCTCAACATTCACGTGGCTGCACCTTGAGAACTGACCTAGTCATGGATGTGGCTGCACAGCTGACCAGGGTATCCACTGGTCCTGAGGACAGACAGGCGGGTCTACGGATCAGTGTATATAAATAGATATCAAGTATCTCTCTCCCGCATCCATCTACCTAACTAGTTCTAGAAAAATTGCATTTGAACATTGTATAAGCTTATGCAATATTTTTGACACAGGGCAATTTATGCATGTGTTTGACTATGTGCACTAGAGTATATATATACATGCGTGTATATATATGTGTTCATAGACATATATGCATATACACTATATATATACACCTGTGTATATATTCATTCTCTGGAGTTCAGGTTCAGGAGCAAATCCACTGCTTGGTGGGTTGGTTGTCTCAGAGGCCTGTTGAGTTAATTTGTCTCCTCGTTGACCCTACTGGGCCTGGGTTTGCTACCATGGCCTCAGACACTCCAGTCTCCGTGGATTTCTAGACGTTCGAATTGTCTCTCTGCCCTCCATGTGCTGCAGCTTCAGTTTCCCACGGCTGAAGCTTGTCTTACTGAGTGCACAAGGGCCCCGTGGCCCTCACAGCTCCAGCTGTCCTGGGCCAAACCCACCCCAGGTCTCTCCTCTACCACGCATCCTGCCCTTCATCTTCATTCTCATCTTTTCCCCGCCCATTTGGTGCATCTATCACTTCCATGAATGTTGCCCTAACGGACCCTGCTATGAAACCAAGGACACCATGGAGTAGGATTCCCTGGGACCACATTTCACTGATTACACTTAAAAAGAGATCCTCCCCTATGTGGAAATCTCCAAAGTCTGGGACCAACAGATGGAGTCCCTACATGATCCCAAGGCACCATTTTGATCACCAGACTCAAGCTCTGTCCCCCATGAAGCTGGCTGCCAGAGCTGCTTTTCACAAAGAACCAAAGGATGGCTAAACACTTGTCCCCTGCTCCCAAGAACAGGTGGAGGGCAAATGGGGACTGCTCAGTCTGAAGGCAGAGAACAGGTTGGCGGCCCTTGGCGATGATGAAAGGAGGTAGGAGGGAGGACTGTGGCCTCACCAGACTGAGCTGCTTTGCTTTTTCCCAACACAGTGAATCATGGTGGCTGGGCTCTACTCCAGGCCTGAAGCTACAATCGTAGGTGTCTTGGTGGGTGGGGCACCAGCTACGGGTGCTAGGCCCAGGGTGCTCACTAGTTCCTGGTCAGCCACATCCCCGGGTGTATGCAGGGCAACTCGTGCCCAGCACAAAGCCCCTGTGTTTCTCTTCCTCTCCTTCATGGGAGGTGGTGCTGAATTTCTAAGACACAGGGTGAGAGAAACAAAGGTTTTCAGGAAATGAAAGGTAATTAAGTCATATCTGAGGCCCACTTCAGGGGGTAGATATCTTTTTTAAATCTCAGTGTCCTTTCCTTGGCCTGGGACTACAAAATCTTCGCACATTCAAGCAAACACATCCACCACAAAACTGATAGTTTCAACATGGTCTTCCACAAGTGTAAAACTCATGGCACACAAATAGAATATACAGACAAAACTAACATAGAAGGCAAACACAGAGTATCTGTGGTTAAACCTACATGCCATTCAGCAGACAGAATGTCCTTAGCAAGATGAAAGACCTACAGACGCCATGTTCAAGTACATAACTGGGGAATCCGATGCAAAACATATAAAAGCAATATGGACACAATAGAGAGATATACAGAATACTCCAGCAATACTCTGCTGTTGTTTCTGTTCACTAAACACAAGCTGTGTTTGCAAACCAGACACGCATGTCCAAGAACATACTCAGAAAACATACCAGATATGAACATATTCTCAGATCCCTTGCCCTGCCCTCAAAGCTGTAAACTGATAGGCACAGAGACAAGATCAAATTCAATCACCTTGCCTCCAGATTTCAGTCCTGAGAAATAACCCTTTAAGGCAGAAAGATGAGGTGCCATGTTAACCAGATGTATAGTGAAGATCAGGGTTCTCAGGAGGATTCCACCCACTCACTCTTCTAGCAAAACCCTGCGGGCATGATGTGAAAGAAACTGAGGCCTATGGCCTATGTCAGGGAGACCACCTAGTCTTGCATTCCTTCAAAGCAAGTACACACTGTCCTATCAGCATGGGGCACCCTACCCACAGTTTCTAAGGTCCCCAAGATTTGGCCCTAGACTGTTTAAAAGCAGTGGTGGCTCTGAAACTGCATGATCCTGAATACAGGTCAGGGTGAAGCTATTCCCATGTGTTCCCTACATGTTCAGCTCACAGTGGTCTTCCCTACCCAGCAGCATCACTAGTGGCCAGGCCAGAAAGTCGATACACTATGCAGAAACCTGTCTCTCCAGATGAATGCTAAGCCTTTCCCTTTCACAGCTGATTAGCCCCAGCCCTGTTGCTGGAGCTCCTCCTTACTGCCCTGCTTCCCATCCCATCGCTATGCCTTGAGGAAATGGCAGACCAGCCCCACTTCATCAAAACATGACTAAGGACAAACTCAAGGCTAAACATGCCAATGATTTTTTTTTTACAGGCCCTTTTATATTTTAAGACCAGGTTGAAAACTTCCTAAATTACCCACCACTGTGGATGACCTGTGGACCTGGTCCCTCCCATAGATACTAGTTTAGAGGTGAGCCGAGTTTGGGCAAAAGCTGCCCCTGAAATGTAAACCAGGCCTGGATCAGGCATCACCATCACAGCTGGCTTCTGTAATTGCCCCTGTGTGATGTAGTATTCCCTAGCGCTATTGGTTAGCTTCGCCCAGGAAGGAAAAGCAGCAGCAACAGCAGGGAGTGAAAATGTGGATCCAAAATGTATGCAATTCAGTACAATCTGCTGGGACTCGTGTTTCCAAGGCAAGATGCCAGTTTCTCACCTACCTTCATCAAGTGCCCCTACAGATTCAAACTTTTGAGGTTAGATTTCAGGAGGTCAAATTTCAGGGTAAACTTTCCAGGAATCAAAATTCAAGAATTTTAGGAAGGCTCCAGGCTCCCTGAAGCGAGTGCTTTTCCATGTGCTCTCTTCGCTGCCCTCGGGTGCCTTTCTGTTGGGTTTCTGAGGATGGCACCTGACTGTTGCCACGTGTTCCTGAAGATTGCATTGGCCTGGTATGCAAAGGGCTCCTGTGAAAGCTTTAATGACCTGAGCCTTGCACTTGTTCCATGTAGAGAGGGCTTCAGGACTAGCTTGTTCCTTCAGATCACCCTCGCTCTGCATGGAAGACCTTGGCCAACTCAACTGCCACTTGATCAGCCCTAAGATATCCATGTCAAGCCAGGGTGGCAGGGCAGCACCCTTTGAAGATCCTCAGGCCCCAGGGTTCAGTGTTACACACAGCAGTGGAGAGGAAGAGGTGGAATTCTCCCTGAAGCAAGCTCTACGACCTGTGCAAATTGCATGCGAGAGTGACACTGCCACCCACACAACACAGGGGAATGGCATGTTTTGATTGTCCTGTTCTTCCTCCCAGGTGGGCCAAAACAACCTGCAGCTGTGTGATGGCTGCCTGGTTTGAGAGTCATCTAGGGTGCTCCTTGGTTGCACAGCGAAGGTTCCCCAAGTCCTAGAAAGAGGTCCCTGACCAGGTTTGAACCCATGCCCTTTAGCTCACGGACCTCCTAAGCTGTCTGAGTCAATCAGCTGGAAGGTGAATGCTGGGCACTATCTCAGTAATTTTGGTGTCTGATCGATGCTTGGACTTGGCCTCATGGAGACCCTGATTCCCTATCAGCAGCAGTTGGGATGGGTGGAGCTAGGAGGTCCTCCACATGCTGGGATGGGTCTCTTCCTCAAA